GCTCTGAGTCAACTAAGGACTCACCTTTCATGTTAAACATGGGTCGCACACCTCGAGCGATGGTCTGGAACAACCCGTCGAAGGACGAGTATCCAAGTGTGCGTGTCTACCTGCAGAAGATGAAGAGCGCGACGATGAAGGCACATGATTCAATCATAGAAGTGCGTGTGAAACAAACCCAGAATGCAAACCGAAGGCGTCAGCTTTGTCCGTTTAAGGAAGGTGACCTCGCTTATGTTTCGACAAAGAACATGTCACTCCCAAAGGGAGTGGCACGCAAGTTCTCCCCCAAGTATATTGGGCCATATAAACTGACCCGCGACTATGGTAATAATTCCTTTATGCTTGACTTACCGAGCAGGTTGCGTCAGCGGGGAATCCACCCGGTTTTTCACGCATTGTTGCTATGGATTCATGTGCCCAACGACGATTGACTGTTTCCTGGTCGAACGGACTCCCAGTTATTCGACTTCGGAGACTTGCCCGAACGTGAATGGTCAGTGGACAAGATCCTTTCTCATTCTGGCACCCACGAGGATGCATTGTTTGAGGTTAGATGGCATGCTGGGGATGTTACTTGGCTCCCCTACGAACAGGTGTCCCACTTGGCCGCACTGACTGAATATTTAGACCTCGTTGGCGTACGCGAGATTCGGGACTTGATGGATGGCAACGGGAAACCTCCTCGCGATGACCCGCGATCATATTTGGGGTGCGTCTCGCTAGACGACCAGGCTAACTTAAATACAGCATCAGCCTTCCCATTCCCCACCAGCCATCTCGAACCCCACCTCGGCCATTCCTTCCCCAACCAAACCCATACCCACCTATCCTGGTTCGAGGACAGCAAAATTAGCTTGTTCGCCATGTCCCACACCCCCGATGAGTCCCAACTACTCTACTTCTCGGCGTATGGCCGCGACGTCCTCGTGGGCAACCCAGAAAACGAGGACGACTCTCACCTCGTAACGCGCGAGCAGCTTAGGCTTTTCATCGCCTACTCTCACGCCCTACGCAACAAACCACCCCACGCTCGACCTCCTAGCCCGCTGGGTTACGAATTCTTCGCCCATGCTTTCAACAGCGAGGGATTACAGTCGACAGCATCGTACCTCGACGAGTCCGGCGTGGTGGTGAGCACCGGGTCCGCTATAGAGGCCACAGACGTCATCAGTGACGAAGAAGACAGTGAGATCACCGTGTCGACCACCCGAATGGAGCAGATGGAGAAAATGGTGTGGCACACGGCATCAAGCGCCGCCCATCAGCGAGAGAAGATAGAGCAGAGGCGCGCCGGTCAGAGGAAGGAACGCAACTTCGGGTGTAAGCAGACGCAGAAGCTAAACAAAAAGGGGCTGGGAAAGATCCGAAAGGAAACCGACCTGCCCACTACATATCCAGTGGCGGGCCCCTCATCAGTAGCGCCCCCCGAGGAGGTCATGGCCGAGATGGACTGACGTCCTTAGGTCAGAGAAGGCGAGGGAGACGTAGGTCACCCTGGAGGGGGAGATGTAACGGTCACTCAGAGATCGTGCTCGTCACTGACTGCTTCTCACCCTTGTCTAAAACGTATTGGACTCATTTATTCCTATAGCTACAGCTACTCTACTATATGCTCGGCCGACGTACTTACTACCCGTTTCTGTCCCCACTGCCTCTCTTTACCGTTATCCCCCGAACCTCAGTAGTATAAAAACAGAGTCCATTCGTAGTCGTACAGTAGTGTTTTCTGGACCCAAAATATCAGACTTTTATCCTGTTATTTCCCGAGAACGTTCTTCTCTTGTGCCATTGACTTCGAGCTTCGCGAGCTAAATAGTCACTGTCACAAGCTCCCATTCCTAACAAAGCCAAACATTTTCTCCTGAGTCCTGACTCAAAGTCATTAATTGATCCGATTTATCTCCATGATGGACTACGTAGAACAGCCGAATAGTAATCTGGTGCGTCGATCCACATTACATCGATTCACTCTCACAATCACTGTTTAGATCTGCTGCATCTGCCAGTAAGCTCACTACCTGTATTAAATCTCTTGTAACACAGCTTCGTGTAGTGCCCCATTCACAAATCCTACGACCGCCCGGACATGCTTGCACACATTCTGTCATGACTGTATCGCAGTAGCCGTACAACACTCCCCGCAATGTCCCATCGACCGCTCCTCGCTTTCACTTGACGATCTATCGCCAGCGAATCCAATCGTGAAACACGTGAGTGAGATCCGTACTAGCACAGTACAGGAAAAATACTGACACAACAGCCTCAGCTCGTCGATGAACTCATAATAGAATGCCCCAACCGAGTATCCGGATGCACGCAGACATTCCAAAGACAATTATTATCCGCTCATGTCAAGGACTCCTGCCTATACGTTGAGATTCCATGTTCGGAAGAACAATGCGACAAGCTCATCCTTCGGAAGGACGTTGGTAAGCATAAAGACGCTTGTGTGTACCGCTCGACGCAGTGCGATGGGTGTGGTACGACCATCAAGTACAGCGATCTCAGTGTTCGTGTCTATGACAATTGATTATCAATCTACTCACCCAAGCGTGGATAGACTCACAACTCGGAGTGTCCTTCCAAGTCTGCAATGTGCAGTTTCTGCTTCGAGGAGTTCCCGAGGTCACAATCACAAGCGCACGCTGCCACCTGTCTCGACTATGAAATTCCATGCACGCAGGCTAACAACGGCTGTTCCTGGACTGGTCCCCGGCATCAGCTCTCTGACGAACACGTTCTCTCCTGCCCATACGAAGCTATCAAAGGATTCTTCTTCATCAACAGTGCTCAACTATCATCACTAAACACGGAAAACGCCGCTCTCAGACAAAAAGTCTACGCACTTGAATCCGTCGTCCAGACGATGCGAAGAGACATCCAAACCTTCACAAATGTCCTCGGTCCATGGTACCGGTCACACATTCAAAGCGAAACCCCACCAATCACTCCCTCATCCATCAACGCCTTCGATCACCTCTTCTCGGCACCTCCCGGTCCTTCTTCTTCTTCCTCCTCCAGAACCACTACCAATCAAGCTCAACCATCTTTCTCCGCAGATCACGGAGAACTCACGGCCCATAACGACATCGACGCGCTCGCACCCTACTTCCCACTCCCACACGAACATGCATTCCAAGAATCCCATAATAATCCTCGATCGCGCCGATCGTTCAGCGGGATCGTAGATCCACACTTGTCTCAACGCACACTGCCATTAACGCCTGTTGCACCTCTTAATCTCAGTACCTCCCTCGAGGGCTCGCTGAGTAGCTTACGTGACTCCATAGCCGCCGTATCCACATCCGTCGATTCCTTAGCGCGTCGAAATGACATCGCGCTCACGAATGAGAGCATGCGTCTGAATGAAGAACTCGGCTCTCTCAAATACGCCGTTCACGGCATACGACTGCAAGTACGTTGCGCTTGCAATCTTGTTATCTTATCATTTCATTTTATCTCCATTTCAATCTGCATCATGCGGCATCGTTCTAATGATTTTTTTGGGCGCAGCTTCACCGTTTGATGATGGACAGGAATGCACAGGTGACAGAGAGAGGTGGAGAACCGCCTTCAGGTCCACCCGGCAATCAGACTATCTTTTACCCTCCGATATCGATGATGACACCTTCGTTTCCTGGACCGCCTGGGACGAAGCTCTAACCAAGTTCTACTGCGGTTTATGGGTCGTTCGATATCTTGCTACTTACTGTAATTGATTGTGATCATATGTTTATGGGTTTCGTCCGATAGGCCACTGCTTAAACCGAATATCAGTCTTTCTTTCTCTAATATTGGGGTACAGGCTCAAGAGTCTCGTCCAGGTCTCTACCCGTCTTCGTTTAAACTTCTCCGTAATTTGAAACTAGTCACGGCGGCCATCACCCCTGTACACGACGTGACCCTGTCGATCCCCCAAGACGTATTGCACCAAGACGGCTGCGACTGAATTCACAAAGGGATTAAACTAAGTACATTAATTTAAGTAGAGCCAGAAACCCGAGCAAAATCGCACGAAACGAAAATATGATGGGATAAAGATGGTGTTGGATGAGCAAAAAAAAGAGATGGAGATGGAGATAAGAAACTAAAAAAAATAGAGGCAAGACGAGGCTATGGACTATGATGGACGACACAAAACAGAGAACAGCAAGCATGACCAGATAACGACGAGCATAGGGGAGTAGCTAACGAACGAGTGACAGGGTGATGGACAACGGGACGAAAGGGACATGCTGGCAGTGCAAGTGCTGAGTGCATCAGTATGAGTATTGAAAAAAGTAAAAGTAAATAAAGTGATGGACATAAAGCACAACGAAACGACAGGTTCGAAAAAAACCCATGAGACCACGACCGAATTAATTTGCAGCGACCACGGAATAATAGCAGCGAGCAAAGGTAGTAGTAAATTATGGTACATGCGAATTCCAGACGGACGGACGATGAGAATGGCAAGATATAGACAGCGGTCCAGGAAAGTCGACGGCCGCCTCAGCTATATGCACTAAACCGCTCCCCACCATGCCCCACGCTATTTGAAGGAGGTACAGTAAATGTGTATTCAGCCGGAGGTGGCACATACGAGCTCATACCGCCACCGATTCCAATATTAGCAGACGGAGCAGAGCTCAACGCAAAACTGCTCTCTGCTGGGTACTGCAACCCAGGTTGGGCGTATGAGTTCTCCGTGGGAGGAAACGTGCTTTCCCGCGGAAATGGTGGATAGTTTCCTGTGTGGGAGTATTGGTTGGATTCTGGGCCGAAATGATATGCGTTGGACGGGGCCGTCGTGTCTACAGGCGTGGGATATGAGGAGCTGTGTTCGATGTTGTTCTGAATATGATTGTGCGGCACCCCTTCTTGGATGGTGGGTATACTGGGCCTGCGGCTTGCTGTGGCGGGCTCCGTGGGACCTAGATAGGTGTTGGCGCTAGTTTCAGGTGGGAGCTGCGTAGCCACACGTCAGCATCTCGTCAGAAATGTTCGAGATAAAATGACTAATTTACAGGATTGTAACCAAACGAAACCTCGCTCGTTCGCAGACCCGAAGGGCCAGGGTCCTTGTTGTATCCAGGGTGTGGACTTCCGCCGGGCGAAACAGTGGAAGCAGGGGAAGAGTACCCTGGTTCCTGTGATAACAGGTGCTCCCTGTGTTGGTAGGAAAATGAAGACGCGGCGTTTAAGTGAGCCTCATTGAGCGATCCCTGGCTGGACCGCATGTTCAAACCGGACATACGCGTTTCGAGGTTGGATGCACTGTAACGTAAAAAACATCAGCGAACGAACGTATCGATCATAAAAGCGCAGCATACCAAGACCCTCTCCTGCCATTAGAATCAAAATGATCGACGCCAACACAACTGCTGACGTCCGAATAAATTGCACTGGTTGCGCTGGTGTCGCTCCCACAGATGCTAGCAATCGAGCCGAATCTAGATAATCCAGTAGAACTGTACGAATCCTCCGTGTCCTGATCTGCCTCATTGCGAGGAAACGCCCATGCGTGCATGTTCCCGGGAGATTCTGCATCCGGTGAGACATGTGGAGGGGACCCAGAAGTCGGAGCGCCAAACTGGAAATCAGGCTTTGGCAGGGGTCCAGGAATAGGCGACGGGAGCGCTCTAGAGCTCATTGTAAAGCGGTTGTCCGAGAGCCGGCGTGGCACGTGCGAGGACGGAAACGGTGGACGAATCTCCGGTACAAGGGAGGAGCGAGTAGGCGAGAACACATGGGGCTCTGACGCTCTATGAGCCAAAGAAGGGCGGGTGTAAGGGCTGTAGGAAGCAGAAGAGCTGTAACTTGTTGCACGTATGCTTGGCCCACCGAGGCCGGACGGTGGACGGGCCATGGACTGACCCGACCCTGCAGGAGATATGGGCGGCCTGAGAAAGATCGCGTCATTCTTCTCCTTTGCAACGCGTGCGAACGGATGATGCATGAGCCTAAGGAGACTGACGTCCATAGACTTGCGTCTATCTGGGAAGTGGGAAGACGGCTGGTTGGCGTCTGTACTTGGCGTGGACATGGTGATTGGCAGCGACCCTCTACGTGTGTTCAGAAGGTCATTATTGTCCTGCCAAGTCAAGTCCGCTGGCAAATGGCGAACATGAGGGGGAATTTCGGCAGGAGTGGCTGGGTTACTGTGCCAAGCTTCTGTAGGGGGCGCAGGAAGAGAAAAGGAAAACTTCGTAAGAGGACTTTCAGCTGTTGGTGATCGCTCCACTGGGTGTGGCTCTGGTGAGGGTGGTTGATCGTCTTCTGCAGGGTGCGTGGGTTTTTCCGTGGGGGTGGAAGAATTGGAAGAGTCATTGGGGGAGGTGTCCCTGGAGGACTGAGACTTTTGAGGAGAGTGAGCCGAAGGAGAATCCTGCTGAGTCGAGTCGTGAACTCTTTTACGAAGAGCCTTGTCCTTTGCACGCCTAAGAGAGAATGAATGAATGAATGAGATTAGAAAAGCGAATGAGAAGAGAGCGCAACATACCTGTTTTGAAACCACACCTTTCGGTGGCACACGAGATTGAGCAGTGAGGACGCGACGAATTGACGTTTAGAACGCACCTGGACCGCACGTGGAAGCATATCAAGTTCTGCTGCTAACTTTTTACGCAGGGCAGCATTTGGTTTTGTATCTTTACGAAATATATCTTCTAGGACCTTGAGCTGTGTACGAGAGGTACGCTTTCTATGCTTGACCTCGTTTGGAATATAAGGAAAGAAAGTTCTGAAGTCGACGGTATTTGGGTCTACGCCTGGGGGGAACAGTGAAGGGATACAGGTAGTTCCAGTGGTATACCTTGAGCTTTGGTCCATTTGGTTTGGGAGGAAGTAACTGTGAGAAGGAGTAGGAAAGAGATCGACGCGATATAACGCGGAAAGAGGATTGGTGTGGGAGGGAGAGAAACGAGAGTGAGGCTTGGCAATAAAGCCAGGGTCCATATTATAGAGTTTACGATCTTCGTTGACACAAACAAACTTTTATCGATTTGAGCCGTGAACTTGAATGTCCCATAAAGCTTTTGAACAGATAATCTAATGAAATTTTAAGGGTAAGTAAGCACCAGTAGTTAGATTTGAACGAAGTTGCCTTACTATGGTTGGAAGAAAATAAAAAAAAGTTGCAGTTCGTGGCTGTGGAACGTTGCTAGGTCGATAAGTCTGGGGTCACTACGTCAAAATAAACTGTCAGTCCAGGGTTACTGCTTCAGGGACGACGATGACGAACGGAGGAAGGAAAGAAAGAACGATGAACAAACGAACGAACTGCGGTTAACGTGTCAGAGTGGTGAAGAAGAGAAGAATGGAATCGTCAATTTATTCGACCCCTCCCTTGAAACTCTTAGTGATCTTCAGATTCTCATCAATGGCAACATGATGCAACACGCAGATCCAAAGAACTACTGTACTCTCCGGACAGGCCTAGAGCCACCATAGCATACTCGGGACTTCTTCTATCATCTCTTTCCGCGGATGAACCCTATGGCTAGGGTCCTACTTCTTAAATCAAACTAGCTATCTGATCCCCGTCGGAGTCAAGCCAAGTTACTATCATATTGCGCATAAAATCTTAATATTACGAACTATGTATGGGTTACGCTTTATCGCTATGTATAACAAATCCCTTAGTACCAATTCACATTCGAGCCCTAGAATGTGGTCAGACAGATCATGTGCGTGGTAGGTATATCAATATATGGATGGATGGAGGACGTGAGGTAGGTCATAGATATCGTGTGGTGAGTGTAAGGCGGGGGGGTGCTCGATGAGTTGCGTCGATCGCAACCTAATATGTTATACTGGCAAACAATGTCCCAAGAAACGTACAACCAAAATTTCACATTTTGAGGATTTTCTTCCATTCCGTTTCGTTTTTCATGGGCTCAGGTCCATGTCGTCATAGTCACGGCCAAGGATCTCCTCCAAGAACGTATTAGAAACACCTGCAAGTGGTGATGCAGCAAACAGCGAGGTACCATCCCGTTTGGCTTCCTCGTATGTGCGTTCCATAGCCGCGCGAGCTCGGCTTACAACAGTATGAGCGCAAACACCGTGCACATCTACACGTCTAGCAGGATCAGTCCGCATCATGCTCTTGATCAATGCAAACAACTCCGGGCTCCCGTCCAGATCCATCTGGCCGAAATCCTCCTGCCGTAGTCTGTGCCATCCATCTCCCCTACAAACAAACCATCACTACTTTCCAAAAGGAAAAACCACATGTCAACTCACTGATCAGGCACAACGATATTCGTGGCCGTTTCTAGCATCGTCATCCCAAGACTGCAGGATCATTAAAGAATCAGGGTCCACTCTATGCTCACGTCCATATCCACGGCTCAACATACCTGAAAATATCGGCAGCCTTGCCGTATGTTCCCTGTAGAACTTCCCGCGCGAGGTAAACCTTATCCCCCTCGCGTTCGAATGCGCCCCCAGGTCGGGGCCACACCGAGGCCATTCCAAAATCCCCGATCTTGAATCGGCCTTCGCGAGTGAGGAAGATATTTGCCGGCTTGAGGTCTAGATGGATGATCCCTGCTTCGTGGATGAAACGCAGACCCTGCAGGCACGAGGTTAATATCCAAGAAAAGACATGACAAGACGGAAAGTGGATGATAGACCATAAACAACAACTTCTTCTCAGACCAGATGAGCGGACCAAGTGAAGATATGTGTGTATAACGGAAGAAAAAGAAGGGACCCAAAAAAGTTTTTCCGTTGGCCCGCAGGTACTCACGTTGCTCAAATCCACCATTATCTTCCACACCCGCGCCTCGTCCAGGCGCGGAAAGGCCCGCCCGTACTCCCACAAGAATCTCGCAAAATTACCAAGCTCACAGAGCTCTGTGCGTATAAAAAGCGCGTCGTCTTGCTCCCAACTGTCCACGTACGTCAGTACGTTTGGATGAGCACCCCGCCCCGATAGATGTGCCAATATGTCCACTTCCTCTCGTAGTCGCAGGCTGTCATCATATGTCAAGATAAACAAAATGTGCGAATGACAGAACAACCCACCGATGCCGAGGACCTTCAAATGGCTTTGATCGTTTGACAGCCCACACCGTGTCCTCAAGCCCGCGCCCAATCTTAGCGCGCACTTTAATGACCTTTCCAAACTCCCCACTCCCAACCTGCTCGACCTCAACGAACTCCTTCTCGAAACGACCAGCGTCCGAGACGTTCCTCACGTGCTCGATAACAGACATTTTCCGTGACCGTGGCCCAAGCGGAGAATGCGAATGAGTGGCAGATGTTTTTGAGGGCAGATGCCGCGCGATCGTTGGGGAGTTCAGTGAGATCATGGAGCTATTCGAACTCGAGCGTGAGCCCGTGGTGTCCACGGTTAAAGTACGAGCTGCAGGTATTGGCCAGTCTAAACCATGAAATACAATGAGACGACCGATCGTAAATGAACGCGGAGCCAGACACACCTTTGAGATTAATGTTTCGCCGTGTGGGCGTGCCACCTGTGCTTTCCCCACTCGAGAACGCCCCACTGCTGCTGCGGCGCATAAGCCACCTACCAGCAGGACGGCCAAGTCCAAGACCCTTGTACTGCTTCCTCGAACTGGGACTTATAGTTTCCTCGTCCTCTTCAGTATCTGATCCACCAGCCTTGGTCGTCATAGTGTTGACTTTACCAAGCGGAAGAGGAAATGCAGCAGGCAAACTCTTCCGTGGCTTCTTCGCATTCCCCTTCCCCCCCTCCACACCATCAAATGAAAACCCAATCTTCGATGCAACAGCACTCTGCCATGGTCGCCCACCATCGAGCCCAAAGTGGCTCTTGAGCTTCTTCACAGGCGTTCCGGGTGGTTTCTTGCCCTCGGTTGTAGAAGGCTTCCCACCTGCTTCTAAGGTACGTAAGATGAATGCGTCGACGTCGTCTTCGTCATGATTAAAATATTGATATGGATGGGATTGATTGAATGAATGAAGATGCGCGTCGTCAACGCCCGAGATCCTTGGCCAACCGGAAAATGCACCAGGCACGACTCCAGGTGTAACCAGATCATCGCCATTATCATTATCAGAGTAAATAGAGCTCGAACTCCTGCTTAACGCCGAATTTCGCGCGGGAATCGACTCGTCGTCGCTGAGGACGATGCCAGAGTCGCGTGGCTTATACTTGGAGGGTAGCAACCCTTCCTTGCCTTTCTGTGATCGTGGAGAAGGGGTTCCCTCTGTGATGCTAAACACGAACGAGGATTCAGTTGGGCCTTCAAATAACATGTCCTCGTCATCTGAGTAGACCGTGCCTGGACCGTCATTCAGAGGCGAAGAGTTTGGCGAGGGTGTGTCCAAACCCGACCGCAGCGTCCATGACATTGGGGCAACGGAGACACCAGCCGAGTCTGGACCAGCATAGCTATGTCGATTCGACGGACTGAGACGGGACTGCGTGCACAGATCCAGAGTAGCGTCGACGGAGGAATTAGTTCGCTTGCGTGGACACTGCACGGATTGAGGGATTGAGGGTCCGAAGAAGTGAGTAGCCGAACTATTGGATGCAATTCGGGCGAAAGGACGGGGACGGGGCTGAGAATGCAAATTAAGACGGGAGGGTGGGTGAGAAAGGAAGGGATTAGGACCGCTGGACCCTGTGAGTCGTCTTCGTGGTACAGGAGAGGGCGAACCAACAAATGAAGTGGGCCGATTGCGATCGCGAGATACAGAAGGAAATGTTATCGGCACAGGGGGTGGCTTCGTATTGGAATATTCAGCCTAGAGTAAAGTTTTGTCAGCACAATGGAATATATATAAATACCGATATCGATGTAGCTTCTAACCTTGGGTGACGGTGAGTGGTTCACACTCTCGAGGAGTTCAATGGAAACGGGCCTCGAACGTGCCCGACGCTTAATGATATGCCCTCCCGGAGAGATAGCTTCAGTGACCTCATCCTTTGAGCTACCTTTCTGTGGCACTAGCGCAGCGTTGATAAGGAGAGATTTTTTCGGACTAATAGACCGGGATTTGCATTTGCGAAGCGCAGGTAGCCTTTGTACAGGTTCTCCGTCGGAATCCCGATCTATGATACCCCAGTCCTCATCTGAGTCATCAAGATCTCGAATGCGCAGCCGCTTCATTGTTTCTGCCTGTCTCTTGAGAAATGCGTCGGTGTCAGCTTTACTCTTTGGCTGGGGGGTAAAGCGAGGTGCTGGCAGAGGTGCAAGACGGTGGAAGGCGATACCAGATGAAGGGTCGGGTTTCGGAGCAGAGATATTAAGAGGGGTGCACGTGGCTGATGAGACGGGACGCAAAGGCGTAGAGAAGTCGCCACCGCCGGATTGCGCCGATTTGCGTTTGGTACCTACGCCCACACGATGTGCAGGCTGCGAATTGAGTTGCTTTGCAGCTAGTACAGCACGATGGGAATCCTTGACTGGCGTGAGTAGTGGCTGAGTGGACGCGTGGTGAAAGAAAGGGGAAGATACAGCGGATGAAGAAGAGAGAAAAAGGGTCGCTTCATCGTCATCTAACATGACTGGTTTGATTGATTTAGGATGTGAGATGGGGTATAGACGGTGCACTAGAGGGGGCGATTTGAATGGAGATTGTAAGAAGATATCGCTGTCATCGTGATCCTGCTCCTGAGCCAGCCCATCTGCTTTATGTTGGGCATCTGCTGGAAACAATGGTCGTCGTCTAAGAGGAGACGGTGTCAACATTGGTGACAGGTGCTCAGATGACACCCTGAGCTTTGGGGGAGTTTGATAATGGGTTGCGCAGCATCCTGGGGATATTGGAGAGACGCTCTGGTCGCGTGCTCTATTTCTGGATTTTTGTACAGAAGCTATGTACTGTGGGACAGACGTCGAGACGAGCGCCGTCATCGTCGCTGTTGTGTGGTTTTCGTCGTCTTCGTCGCTGTTGTTGGCGTCGTCACTGTAATCAACGTTGGGGAGGAACAAAGGTTTGGAAAGAAATCAATGACAATTAATTTACAGCAGTGCGTTTATGGGCCGCATTCTCGACCGTGAGAATACCGCTTTGTTCCACACTCAACAATGTCATGTGATCGTGTATTTGCATCCGTGGAATCTTTTTTCTTGCTCGTCGTATACACGAGGCTACCAACCGTTGCGGTTATTATTTCGTCACTTCCCATGACAATGATCCGGAGCCTAAATAGTTGTCCAGTCACCAGTGAATAGCGCAACCTGTTTGTTTCACAGGTCTTCAGAGGTTAAATGAAACCCACCTGAAAATAGGTTCGAGCTCTTGCCAAGACTCCATATGCAGTTGATATTTGTGCAGTTCTTAGTTGTGGTTTAGCTGTGGTCAACCAAATTCGCGGAACAAGTTGCGGAAATTAAATGTATTCATATGAGATGGATCCGCCTATAGCTAGCGCCATTCTCTCGTTCACCGTCTCCTGCCTTAAAATCGGACGCCCACCTCAAAATTTTCGTCTTCTTTCTCGACACACATTATCAAACTTTTGGTTCCGACATCTCTTCCACTTGCGGTTATACATTGTCGTTGAGTTACGACCACAGCTTTCGAAGTGCCACACATTGTTCCCAGCACAATGTTTTTCTGTTATGACTACAGCTATGAGCATTTTTTCCAGGACGTACGTACTACTACGTATGGTTGTCCTAAGCAACTGTTAAAATTTTGACATCGTCTCACTATCCCGCCAAGACATGTGCCCTGCCCAGCTCTTAGACTGGTGTCTAGACTCTAGTACGAGGCGAACTTATCCAAACCGAATTGCCGACGCTGACCTCGCAGTGCATCGCCGAGTCGGACCCGCACTAGTGCTCCCTCGGCTCGGGACATATTGAAAATAATCCCGAATTAAACGAAATGCAATTAGGCCGGATCCCTGTTATTTAACGGAACAACTATTCATTTGAATTTTTACACCAGAGCGAACTTCTTCGACCTGCAGGGTCCCTGTTTACTCTTCATGCACATGGTCTACCGGTTTTACGAGTATGTACAATGTGCAATTGGGTATCGCAGCCGCAGCGAGCCGCCAAGTCACCGACTCCCTCGATCGGTCAATTGTTGTATTTCCCCGGATGCGTGTACACTTGAACGTTCCACGATCTATGCGTCGCTACTCATTTCTGGTGTCCGGCTGGCATTTCCCGGTAAGAGCCATGTTCAGCACCTTTTACAGCAACCCAGATTCCAGCTTCTCCCAATTTCCTTCAGACATACACGGGAATGGCCTTTTGGTCAACGCCATCCATACAATCCTGTCCATGTAGAATCTCGTCGGCTTTAACCTGCGGCCTGCCCTGTCAGTCCGCCCAACGCTTTTTGTATTCCCAAGCCATGAGATTGCCTTGAGTTACAAGTAGTGTCTCACGTTTCCCGGCCCCATTCCATGTTCCCTATTTAGCTGCACTGCAATGTCAGCTGTCAGTCGCCTCCATCTCTTTCTTGACGCGTGCCGAGGATTGGAGGCAGCCGAGGCACTTAGCAGCAGCGCGAAGAGTGGAGCCAACATCATACTTAGGTTGTCCACATGGCACGAAGGCATACAAGCAAACCAGACAGGATCAGCATTTAATGTGGTTACAAGAGGTAAATGCATGTCCGAAAGAACCACACTACTAGTAGGCTGATGGGCAAAGCGCTGGAACACAGATGCTATCTCTGAATCAAAGCGAAAGCGAGCGCGTGAAAACCAGTGTTAATCTGTCCCAGGCATACCAGAACGTTGGATGCGGCACCCTGAAATGAATGTAACAAGCACCCTTGAAGTGAGATCGAGCAAAAGGCATACACGTCCCACTGACACAAATGTTGATATTCGCACCGTCAAATGTCACTGCCTGAGTCCAGGCGATCACCTGAGCCACACCGTGACACTTCGAACTTGAACATGACTTGACGTGGTCGATGAGGCGAACTGTAACCACGTACAAAAATACAAGGGCTATAGCGAACACGGCAGGATAAACCTTAAAATAATGCAATGCAGCGACATTGCTTGCAAAACACGCCATCTTGCGAAAGGGGTCAAGTAAGGAGTTGTCGCGTACGCAGGCAGAAACGACGGAAACGGTAATATCTTCTCGCGGTAACACAGAGGTGCCGGCACTCGACAAAACCCTTACTCCACACTTCGTGAGAGTTGGGAATCACTTCTCGCGCGACAAAAACGGTCCCGCAAGCACCTACTATGACGCGACGCTTAAGTCCAGGCACGCTGACTGAAGCCACGACTGCCAAGTCTCGACCACCGCTTAACTTTATCGTTTCAGCTATGAATACTGTGAGTACTGATGAGGGTAATACCATCTCGTAACGCACACCCTTCGGCCAAAAATCGTAATGTGCTATCAACGATCTCCTTTCGTTTTCCGATCGATGCATGTCCCTGAAAGTCCACTAGTGAGCCTTTTCATCTTCTTTTGCGATAAAGCAAGTTACCAGCCCCCTAACAGACCCGCGCCGCAAGCGTTCTTAGTGCCTCTTGATTTGGAGTTCCAAACTTCTACTACCCAGTCAGTAGCAGACTGATAAACCGTCTTTTATATCGTACAGCAGTCCTACATGAACCGGAAGATTCCCGTTAGAGATGCCATTCGATACAAAAACTCCCAAACCACTCACTCACCTTGGAAATGCATCCGCTTGATTGGAGCAAGAACACCCAAAAAACACGGTATGTACTGGCACTATTGCTTCTTGGAGGTAAATAGGAATAGAATCAACATTGTGTCGGCTATGGTCAATGAAACTCCGGTGACCAATGGTTGTCGAACACTAACATTACGTGGAGTCAGCCAGCAGTCCAATTGCCAATTCTTCACTAACGTCGTCAAACTTCAACCATGGATTAGTATCTTGTGAGTACATTCAAAACAGGTAATCAGTTAAAGGGTAGTTTACACTTCAGGACGGATGCCAGCACATGCGCTCGCGCTCCTCGCTGCTCACAACGTCGATTCTATCATTATCGTCAGAAGTCAGCGTCAAATTGTAAAGGGATACACTCTGTGGCGAACCCTGGCTGCGAGCATAGTGTCGACTAGCTAGTGCTGAGATCAACTCTCCTTGCTCAGATCCGATTTCCGCTTGCGATCCAAAGGGGAAATCGGCTCCAAGCTCAGCGCTCACCAATGTTTGCCCCGAGTCAGACCAAACCATCGAGATTCAACAACAACATTCCGCCAGCCCGAAATTAAATCACCGCGTTCGCACCTATTTTGTAGAAGTAACAACGCAAGTCCTGGTCAATTGAAGTGAGTTTGTTTTTACTAGGCAATGTTTATGGACAAGCTGAATCAATGTTTGGGAGCCTGACGTCTAAGGACTTGTTCTAGAATCTGATGACTAGGATGTCGCAATAGTGGATCAATCAATCATGCCTCGTACGGTGACAGACACGGATGTGGATAACCGCTCTAATGACATCAAATCAAATGGCGTATTTCCTATTGGTGTGCCACCTTTCGGCGTCTTGGGTCTACTATTTATGATGATTCAGAAGTGCTTAAGCGCTTATGCTTGGCGACTGAATTCCGCACTATCCGTTGACGTCTACTGTCTACCTGTTGAATGTTTGATACAGTATACCAAATGAGGGCCCGTTATCATGTATGTGCATACAACATGTGCGGGTCTGTCATGACCTCGCAGAAGGCTGCTATCCTCATTGCAGCCATTGAAACTCTTTCACTCCTTAGAGGCTTTAGAGTGAATGACTGTGCAGTCCCCGCTAGAGTTACCCATCTAGGCGTGACCGAGAGTTTGGCCTCCCATCTCACCCCTTGTCAATGTCTGTGTCAGCTACTTATGTCCTTCTCTCTCCCCTGAGGTAATAAAACTCCGACAACATTGCTTGCACGGGGGCCGCCGGTACCTAGACGTCTCATTGGCTGACTATGGTGTTGTTCCGGGGGTATTGATGCATAGTATTGATGCTTTTGGTTCGAGTTATCATGATAGAGTCAGATAGACATAGCTAGGGTTTGTTCAACTAATCAATTTTCATTGGCTGACTGTCACGGTGATGTTTTTGTTCCGGAAGCATTACAAACTAGCATTGATGCTTTTAGTTTGACTTATCACGATACACCAATATCATAGCTAGGTTTCGAGCGGGTGCCGTCGCAATTCGGATTCTAGATACTATAAAACCATCACACCCCACACAATGATTCCCGATCTCCATCCGACATCGACTGCACTCGTCCACGTATTGATACGCCATCATTTGTAGTCATCTACTACAAGTTTTCGACCTGGTACTTTTCATAAACTCTCAGATCAGCATTCACCACTATGGTATCATCTGAAGCACAATCAGCGGACCTGTACGATGTCATTGGCCTTGGATTTGGCCCGGCTAATCTTGCTGCTGCTGGTGCGCTACTAGAACAACCAAGAGAGGTACGTCAATCCGATGTACCAGTACCATATCTGGAACTCATCGGAATCATAGACCTGCCCGATATCCGTAAACAAATCTCTCTTCATTGAGCGACATCATGAATTCAAATGGCATCCGGGTATGCTTCTCCCAGGTACCCGTATGCAGATCAGGCAAGTACAATTTCATGTCGATCGCATCTTGCAGCTGAGGGAGAAACACAAGTTTCCTGAAAGATTTGGCGACCCTGAGATCGCCACAATCTCCAATCACCTTCGTTGCATACTTGCACTCCCAAAACCGTCTGGTGGAGTTCATCAACCGGAATTGCATGACCCCGACGCGGAAGGAATACTCCGATTACCTTGCCCATGTCGCGCGGTACGTGCAAGGTCAAGGCATCAAGGTCGCGTATGGCGAAAATGTCATTGCAATCGAAGAAGGGGGTGAAGGCACTGTGCTGGTCCACAGCATCGTGCTTACCACTGGAGAAACTATCATTCGTCATGCAAGTCAGCATCAATTCATTGCAATGTTGTCATGCAGGAATTGACTGAGGATTATTCAGAAAATCTAATCATCTCGCCAGGAGGCTCACCACGGGTCCCGCGGTGTATTCAGAGCATCTCACCTCATCCTCGCATCATTCACAGCTCTGCGTACCTGTCTTCTGTAGAACCGATGTTGGACACGATGAAGACCATCACTCGGCCACTTAAAATCGCGGTCGTCGGTGCTGGGCAGTCCGCAGTGGAAGTACTGCTCGACCTTCAGTCACGGCTAACTAGCATGGGCAAGAGTACCAGCCAAGCGCACAACCTTCATCTCATCATTCGTGGTGGCTCATTGAAATCGAGCGATGGTGGCCCCTTTTCGAACCAGGTATACAATCCAGAATTTGTGGATGTTATGTATGACCTGCCAAGTGATTCTCGAAGAAGAGTGATGGCGGACTACGAGGGCACAAATTACGGGGTAGTAAATCCGATTACGCTTGATTCAGTGAGTTGCATGTCTTTTGCTAATTTATTGCAATTCAAGGATGCGACGATAGCTCTTTAACGTCATATACGACCAACGTGTAGACGGTGACATCGCTGGACGCAAGAAAAACGCACTGGCCGCGACCGATGCACATATCACCATCGTAACTTATAGTAACCTGGCGTCAGCGGAGATTAGCACACATCCTTCGCAAACCTCCACAGAAACAGATACACATGCACATACATTCTCGGTTCTTCTGCAGAATACCCTCACACAAGATTTCTACGAGGCGACATATGATGCCATTGTCTGCGCTACTGGCTACGAGCGAAACTCGTGGCTGAGCCTCTTGAAATCATCCAGCGTAGGCAAGCATTTCGGTCTGTGCGCTACTTCAGATAACACGCGGCTCTCTGTGGAGCGCGACTTTAGAGCGACCGTAAACGGGAAGAATGGCGCGTTTAAAGCGGCCACGAACGGAATAAACGGTCATTCACGGACATCGGTCACGGGCATCAATGGAGAGAAGACACATGCACAATATACATCTACGGAGACCAAAGATTCTGGTACGCTATCTAATTTCTGAGTACTAACTGAGTTTTCTCACCAGTATGACAGATACAATCTATATCTCGCGAAGTCATAGACTTCTTCCACTACCGACGGCTAGTCATGGATTGATTCCAAAGATCTACTTGCAAGGTTGTGCAGAGGAAACGCATGGAATAACAGAGACGCTATTGAGTGTGGTGGGGATTAGGGCTGGAGAGGTGGTGGAAGACTTGTGTTCAAATTATTAGAGAATTTGAGGACCTGCGATTTGCAGGATACAGGTTTGGGCTTTTATAATAACAGTTGCTTTGGGATAAGACATTTTTGATTGGTGGCCGGAACCCCTGATGCAGTATGTGTTGAATGTTACTGTAGCGATACTTACTACGAGTCGTTTCAAGTTGCTGCACGGCCCGTGTTAGAATTTTGTACCATACACCAATATATGTACTAGCTAGTAGTAGATTATCGATCATCCAACGCGAGAACCACGCGACACGTGCATGGCCGATGCTGCAAGGACTCATCATAAGATTATATCTTGCGCATCGAGTGGATGTTGATATCGTGTGGACACAGTGATGGACTATCGGAGTCCATCATTGACACGGTGCGACATGGCAGCCTCCGTCTAGTGTGTTCATCAACATGGCGACTTAAAATACGAGTTTTTAAAGATCGATAGCCCTGATAATGCCTGATACTTTTTCTCGAATTGCATGTATAGCTTCAGGGGCACGCCGCTTTTGGAAATGACTACTTCATACTTTTCATACTTTTGGCTCGCACGCAACCCCACATAGTAATTCTAGCTTTTGCTCCCATGAGACTGTCTTATCCTTGTTTATCCGAAGCTAATCACAATGACCTTGCACTTGCACTCAGGATAGCCCGGCACTCTTCCTGTACCACCTGTGAATCTTGTCCTGGTCTGCGACCCCCAGCAAGCGTCGAGGTGGTTCTAGATGATGATATCCACCAAAAGTCTCTACTCGGCGACCTGACACAATACGGCTCAGACGAAGAGGATGGCCCCGCATACCTCGAAACATGTATATGTGGCCACGATGTAGCAGATCACGGTAGTCAATTAGCCGCCTTGGGACGGGAGGAATTTTCTCGTAGAGCGCGTCTTGCAATTCGTATTGATGAACTTCTTCAAGTACGTCTTCTCTCACGTCATTATATGCACGCTGAGTCACAGCACGCGCACCGTGTCAGGAAGCAGACAGGCAACTTGATTTCAATTATACAGATGAAGACATCGACTCCCGCAGGCAACAAATGAAGACGTCCATCTCTATGGTTAGCGTAACGTCTCCTTCCATCCGTACGTCATTTACATCCATCCTCCCTGCGACCTCCTCAAAATTTTCAGCACAATCTTCCCCGGTTGATCGACCAATGTCCCCGGATTCTTCCGTACTCAGTGACGAGCCCCCACCTTCAAAACGTAGACGACTGTCCTCCTCTTCACTCAGCGATGAAGAAGACGATGATGACGACGACGATAAGCCTTTAGCCGCCCAAGTTGCAGATTCAAATGCAGCAGCTACAGGAACCACTTCTAGAAAGACTGTGACGCACAGAAGCGGGAAGAAGACCTCCAGTATGAAGTCAAAAGCGCAGGCCGCTCCTACGGGAGAAAAAAGGCCAGAGAAGAATGGCGTTGCAAATGGCCGCAGCTCGGATCTTAAAGTAAAGGTCGAAGATAAGATGGACGAGGGTCAACTCACACGCCTTGCGACTGGTGTTACGGTAGACACGGGGCCAGCATCCTCTGCTGTAGTAAGTTTTATTCCCATTTCTCGCTTAACTGACGCTTATTCTGTCAAGCCTACTCACAAGCCCGAAAAAGCTGCTTTTGTGGAGCTGCGAAAAGGGGTTATTGAGATAACTGCAGTGGAGAACGACCAACAGCCGCGCTCTACAGTGATTCTCACTGGTCTAAAGACCTTGTTCCAAACACAGTTGCCTATGATGCCGCGCGAGTACATTGCGCGTCTAGTCTATGACCACAACTCGAAAGCACTCGCGATCATAAAACGTGGTTATAAGGTCGTAGGTGGTATTTGCTATAGGCCTTTTCCACACCGTGGCTTTGCGGAGATTGTCTTCTTTGCTACTGCATCCGTGGACCAAGTGAAGGTAGGCAAAGGCCTCGTCCATCATGTATGCGACTGCAGCTTCTATGACAGGGCTACGGTGGCATGCTCATGGACAACTTCAAACAACACATCAAACGTACATACCCCGATGTGATGCACTTCCTCACCTACGCCGACAATTTTGCTGTAGTATTCTTCAAGAAGCAAGGCTTTTCGAAAGAGATCACACTGGATCGCTCTGTGTGGGCAGGGTACATCAAAGACTACGAAGGCGGGACGATCATGCAATGCACCATGTTGCGCAAGGTCAACTATCTTGATAAAGTCAACATCATTTCTCAGCAACGAGAGGCAATCCTCACCAAGATCCGCGAGATGTCGAAGTCGCACATCGTATATCAGGGTCTTTCACAATTCCAAGAAGGTGGTCTGGAAGGAATCACAGTGGATCCTAAGGAGGTTCCAGGGCTAAGTACGTCATCCTTTCTTTAAGTGAGTTGGCACCTCCAATTTGTTGTAGGAGAGAGCGGCTGGACGCCCGGCATGGAACACAGGTAGGTTGCCTTTTGCGGTCTGAGTGGGTTGTATGTAATTTCTTGCAGCACGCGTTCCGGGAAAAGTGCCGAGCACACACAAATGCAGCGGTTCCTGTCCGATCTTAAAGCCCATCCCCTAGCCTGGGCTTTCTTAAATCCAGTCAATGCCGATGAGGTCCCAGATTACTACGGTGTCATCAAGAGACCCATGGGTCTGTACCAAACTTCCTCTGTCAGATATTTTGCATTAACATCTCCATCAGATTTCAGCACGATGGAACACAAATTGGACACGAATCAGTACTCCTCACTGAAATTTTTCCTCGACGATGTTCAACTGGTGGTCGATAATTGCAAGCTGTACAACCCCGAAACATCGATATACCATAGGAACGCAGTGAAGCTTGAGAAATTCATGAAAGAGCAATGTCCAGAATATGCAAAGCGAGGGTCCTGAGGACAGTTGTCTTGTTATACTATCTTTATTAATTCGCATCTGTATTATTTACTATAAGGATCACCATATGTGTATCGTATACGTTTCTTTCCGCTCGCCCATCACTGAAGTATCACATACTTAAGAGACCTTCACTATACCAGCGCAGAAAACCTACACGAAACCACCCCAAGAGAACCGGATGTGATACGGCAACAGGATAATCAAGAATCGGCGTACGCTTCGTATCCAATGAAAGTTGGCCTCACAAAGTAATTATTGCACATCGGGATCTCTATGGTTGACCTTGCGAAGTCAAGAACAGTCAAACATTGGAACAATCAGACCATAAGGAGCTACTGGCGATTCATCGCCCTGGACGTGCTCGTCACCAAAGTTTATAAATGATGTTTGTTGAGCCCATTCCGTGATGTGATTCATTGTTAATATCTGACAAGGACAAGGGCCTTCAACGCTCAGCTGTATGGGCTTGAGAAGTCAAGTACAATTCAAATATCGGATCGGAAAACGAGGAAAGGGAATCGGATCATCGATTGGACTCAAAGTCGTAGATTTTTGCAAATTCGCTCTGTTTTGATCAAAAATGAATTACATCGATGCACGACTACTCACAGAGCATGCATAAATAGTGCACCGGCGACAAAATGGACCATGCTCATGAAACGACTTTGTATCAGTAAATTAAACGCGGTGATGATGCTGAGCGACTTCAAGCTTCAAGATCAAAGTCGAGTTCCATCGAATCAAGAAACTAGCGATGCAACACCATTTGTAATCACTGGGGTGATTTCGATGGGTCGAATCTTCGCGTCTTTGGCCTTCAAGAAGCGCATTGTTGTTGAGATCTACAAGGAGGCTGCCACAACAAACTCTCTGCGAGAAACCTTCTTCCAAATCAGAGCCTTCAGAGGAAAGGGCTCCCTGCAATCCTTGCGGTTGGCGAGAGCTTGCCGTCGCGAAGCAGGTACCGTCCCGGGTCAAACTGGTCAGCGTTAACACAGTCGCGCGACATTGCCTCTCAGAAAATGAACGAGAAGTGGTAATGGAACTTTTCTTCAATGTACGGCCAAGTATCCTGGTCTGCGAAAGCGGGTAGCGCATCACTGCGTATGCCTCAGTCTATTTCAGCTCGCGTCTTCCCTTGGACTTCCAGAATGAGTATCATGACGATCAGTGTCGAGTGTTGCCGGGGAATGACAACTCGGACCTTGACGTCAGTTGTTTTGGGACCGACAAAGTCACAGAAATGGTCCGGAAGTTGTATTTCAAGCTTTCAAGCATGACATTTTTGAGGTCGAAACACATCGAAACTTTGAGAGCACTACTGCACATAGATCCATTGGTGTTAACATGAACTTGGAAAAGAGAGATGTCAAAAAAACCTCAAACGACATCCTGTCGTGAAATGTAGCCATGGTGGCTCGACAGTCACTGAATACCGAATGTTAAGCCTTTTGGAGGGCTCAATGACGCGCGAAACTGCGGCAACGACTCAGAAATTTGACAACTTGGGTGGATAATCCAGTGACTCACCAAGCTTCGCCGCAGTCATATTGCGTCGAAGTTCGTAGCTTCTTTGTTTTGACGAGAGAACTCCGAGTCTTGGCCCATTCAGATTGAAGTGACTCAGTCGCTGTTTGCCGAAAGTCATCGACGCGGGATCCAAAATTTTGCTTTCGAAGGGGTTACAAGATTGTAGTACGATATAACGATGTCCGTGAATTGAATTGATCGGTACATCCATCAATCTACACTGTTCAGCCGTTTTTTGCGAGCGCTAGCCCATGATATACTTTTCTTGGTGACACACATACCCACAGCTGTGTTTGGTTTTGATATCCGAGTCATAATCCGAAACTCGAGCCACACTTTAGATCAAGATATCACTTCAAAAGAATCGCCTTCATCGCGACAGGGTCACTCATACAGACCACACTATTGCTGAAGTCGAGATACTAGGATGTCATTCCCAAAACAAGACAGTGCGTAGCTTGGTGACTACGCCCGTACATTATGTTGCTTATCAGTGTCTTTCGGACTAGTAACCCAACCATTCAACTTTCCAAAGGAGGAGGAGAAGGTCATCGCTTACTGGCGTGAGATAGATGCTTTCCAGACAAGTTTGAAGCTATCAGAAGGCAAGCCAG